CCTTGCAATCAGAGCTTGCAGTTCTTTAACAAGCTTCATTCCATCGTCTTTAAGCATACCAGGTTTGGATCTCTTTGTAGATATCTTCCTCCGGTGGTGGGTCTTTCGAGGCAGATCGTGGGATGTGTGCTAGAATGTCTATGGTAGGGGCTGCCACTGGTGGCCAGCTAAACTGAGTTTTGAAGTGCTCCCGCAGCATGCACGCCATCGCAGTTGATTATGAATAGTTGAACCTTCAGCTTCTTAGGTCTTTTTACTCACATCCCATGGTGACAGCACTTTCCATCTCTGATGTACTTTGAGTTCACCAAATTTGCTGTTTCTGAGTAGGGTTGCTTCAAGTTCAAGTATCGTTATGGGTCGTTCTTCATTGTGTTCGCTGCCGGTCGGAATGGATCGATGTGGGAAGAACACATAAATACTCCGCTGAGATCCATGTTTAGACAGTACGAAGTGTCAGGCCCCAACTTACTAAACCAGCAGAACATATAACATTTTTGATAAGCGACGAAAGCTGACTGATGAATTCAGGTAGGGTTAGTTCGAGCTTTTCAGCTAGCGCTTTTTGAAATACGGTTAGGCTTGATGGTCAGTCCATCCGTCGGTGTGTTGTGCGTTTGGAACGCCCGCCGAAACACATGAACGATATGACTTCATTTTTTCCATTTCTTAACAAATTCGGTTGATTGAAGAGGCATGTGAACACCAATAAACCGTACACCTTAGTTTTCATTGATCATCCCCTGGATGTCATCTTGATGCACATTCCCCAGCTCATTCACTTTGTAGATAAAAACATGTAATCCTTATATTAGTCCTCGTATTTTACTTTCTGTCTCTATTGCTGACGCGGGACAGAATGAGGTGAAAGTGATCGATAAACCGTACCATATTGCCCCTCTGTCGTATTATACTGAGGTGTATACTATTTTCTTCAGTCCCACCGGTAGGCGCAATCTGATGTATCAGTGTTTCATATTTCCCCCCACCCCTCCCTTCAGATGACGGTTCGGCGAGCTCGAGCCATCATGGCGGAACGGGCTCAAAATACCAAAAAATCACCTTTCTTGTGCAACGCTATCCTCGTGGACAATTTCCTGTGGACCTATCGACGAAAACATGCGGATCAAATTGAAGAAACCATGCCCATGCATTGCACGCGGTGCATATTTTACTAATCTTGTTGTCCCTGTTTGATACTGACTTCTGATAAGTGAGAGAGCCTTTATAAATGAATAGAAATACGTATTTTGATATTTGTTCTTTATTTCTAACAGAAGGTTCCAACTACGTCTATGTATCGTTACATCCTATGATAGTAAGGATAATCAATTGTATGTATCAGGTTGAGATGAGCTCGCTTTATTATTATCAGTGTGTGTTTGTCTACCACATAGATAAACCAGCGTAGGATTTCGGTCCATCTGGGCCAAACGTGCTCGTTATACCCTGGGTTTGGCTCTCCTTGTTCCCTTTCCCTATGCATCTCGGGGGCTTGATAAATTGTCCTCATGGACTGTTGGGTTGTCCAGCTTTTGTTGTTGAACTCCAACCATGATGAGTTCGGTGTCTGTATCGTCTTCTCGTGAATTAACCCGGCTGTGATTATGACTCCCACTGGGCTCCAAGCTGAGTGGATCCGTATCTGGGGTAGCAAGCCATCCGTCGGATTCATTTAGATTGTCTTGGGTTTGTAGTTCTCCTCGATTGGTGTAGGTGAGCCACGTGGATGTGAGCGATTTGGTCACACTTCTGTTCAGTGTGGATATGTTCCACTGTCGGACTGGATGAATTTGAATCATATCGTCCAGATGCGATTCTTGCCCCCGTAGTGCCTGATTACGATTGCGATCCAAATGAGACATGTTCTTGTTTATGATGGGGGGTAAATGAAGATCTCTTATTGTCCGAGTTTGCAGTTGCAGAAATTTTTCGTGATGCACGTTTTTATAGATTGGGTTCGGTAAAAGAAAAGGAAGTTATTTAAATGAATTTGCCGGAATCAATGAGTTGCACAATGTGAAAATTATTATTTAAATAATTCTTCTTGCAACTAGGTGAGTGATTTATCGCATTGGAATTGAATGACTGGATCCACTTCCAAAGCACATTTCAGTAGTGGACCTTGCCATGGTGTTGTCGTAATCTTGAAACCGAAAACCATCCAGCCGCTTTCGAGGTCGATTACAAACAGAACTGAATGAGACAAAAACAACGTAAATTGTGTGTGCATTTTACAGGTTTGTGTTGCACTGAGTTCATATTCATTCGGGGTTTAGAGAACCCCATTAATTATGCAGTCCAATTTGCCAACACTTGAGTTTCGCACTCCACCAGTAATTGATTATTCACAGTCCTACTTCCTGAAAATTGCTTTCACAGGTGTCTATTCAAGCATCCATTTACTTAACCCTGGGTTTATTTTTTCCCCAACGCCTGAATCATTGGGAGAGTGGTTTAGGTCAACTCTACATTGCCCCGAAGTTTGCGTGTTCAAACCCCACTATCAGAGTGGAACTTTCCTCTTTTCATTATATCACTGTACTGCTGCCCATCCAATAAAAAGTAATGGAAAAGAATTAAGGCCCGGTTACAGAATTTCGGATAGATGCTGGATGTTCTCAGTCTAACAGGTAACTTGATATTAATCAGAGTAATCAGTCTGTTCATTGAAACTGCCATCTTTTTCCTACATTTGTCTCAACCGTATTAATTCTCAATTTTCACGCGGATTTCACTCATTCTGAATCTGCTTATTAGCCAAATGTGTCTATCCTTACCAAACGGCGATTACAGTGAGCCACTTTTGGTTCTCTCAATTCATTTATCCAATAAGATGGAGTTAGTGTTCTTTTGAAATTGGCTCCACTACTTCCGGCTAGACGTCTTCACTGGGAACGTATCCACGAAATTGAACGTGATACCACAATGAAGTTGTGGCTGAACTGTTTCTATTTTATTGTTTATTATTATTATTATTGAAATTTTGTCATCCAAAGCGTGAATGAACAGGAGGGGAAGCATTGCAACTGTTTTGACCTGATTGGTTCTCATTAGCGTACGAATCCATCGAACCGGATCGTATTCTGCAAGCTTCATTTTACGAAACAGATGAGATGAATGATTGATGCTGATCGGTGTGGTGTGCTTCCGTTTATTCTGACTGTTTGTGAACCACTTGTATATTCGTATTTTTTTATCCCCTATTCTCACACAATGATTTTGATCGATTCAAACTGTAGGTTTTAAATAATACTTCCTCGTGAACGCGCCTTTTATCGATGTGCCATTTTGGGATTAGTCTTCTGTCTGAATCTGCTGCTGTCACACATTGTAAGCAAACCACACATTAGGTAACAGGCTCGTTTTTGGTGATTCGTCCATAGGCTTGCGCATCACAGTTTCTCCAAATCTATACGCAATTGTTACAAAGAACTCATATTTCTGCGAAGGATTCGTTCTTATGACATCAGGCACTCAGTCTGAAGAACCGTTAACAATTCAATTTCGTGCGTCGGTTTTGGTTGCTGTTTTTAGGTTTCCCATTTGGATAAAATAGCAGAATGATGATTAGAATGTTGAGAGCAGATTTAACCGGAAGGCAGCACATTTTCATAGACTGAAGTTACAAGAATAATGAGTAGATGCATGAGCGCCACTGTTTGCGACATCCAGCCATATCGCTCAGTGTCTCTAACCCTAGATGACCATCATCTCGGGGTCTCCAGCTAGGGAGCCCAACGGGACCAATATGACCCAGTCTCCTGGTTAGGGTTTTCATGCCAGGTCTTACTTTGACCACCTTCGATCTTTTTCCAATCGCTACCTGCCTCGCCAAGCATCGCTCGCCGTGGCAACTTATCTTATGACATGCGTAACACGTCCCAACCAGCGTAATCTATGAAGGTCGACCACTTGCTCCAGTAGGCGATCTCTACCGCCTAGGACTTCACGCTTAATCTCAGGATTGCTCGTCCGGTTGCCCCACCAGACTCGTACAATGTGATGTAGACAGCGGTGTTTGATCACCGACTATCTTTTATCCTGTTCTCGTAATGGTTGTCTCTGCACCGTAATCTCTCTCTCTCTCTCTCTCTCTATATATATATAGGTATTGACCAAACAACATCCTGATTTTCATCACATTTGTTCCTCTTAATGCTTTGTTTTTCCAGCCTCATTCACGGCATTGAATATGATATTTCCCCACTTCAGACGCAACATATCTGATGTAATACCCACTCCTGTCACTGCTTCTGTTAGCCATATTCCTGTAAAATGTACAATTTCGCGATTTTGACGACGGTTTCTGGCGCATCAGTTGTGAGATAACAAAGTCACAGTAGAGAATGTAACTTTAATTTAATTATTAAAACGACTCATGGACTTTATACAGG